CTCGTCGCATCCGCAGCTCTATTACTTGAAAGCATTGTTAACTTTGAAAGCGAGAAAAGAAGGAAGAAGATTTCTTCAAAAACGACCTAAAATTTGCAAAAAAAGATATAGAAAAATGGCTTGAAAAACATAGTATAGCATGCAAATTCTGAAGTTGACACCTCATTAAAAAGTGTCTTCACCGAAGAAGGTTCAGAAATAACAACTACCGCATGAGCAGCTTGTAGGCGTATGATGCACCGCTGTACTGCTGTGAACTACACATTCCCCCATGGATGAGACGCACGGGATTAAGTCGAAAGATAACTGTTGGTGAGGTTTACCTGTTGAACCTCACCCTACGTTGGTAAACAGCATTGTTGAGGTTATTCGCATCTGAAAGACGTTTATCTATCGCCAATACCTGACGTGTCCTAAATCTATGAATTTTTGTGACGAATTTATAAAAATATTGATAGAAATGTTTTCGCCAACCAGGTTGTTACGATAGATAATTTATTTTGACCGACGTTTTGAACAAATCGTCTTCTTCAAGGTCTGAAAACGGATTCTAGCTTTAGTCTGTATACTACGAGATCAAACGTTTCCACTTGCTCTGCCAGGACTACGTTATCCGAAGCATAACTGAGCGAGAGGAGCATCGACGACTGACCTCCGATCCATCGGAAGTTGCTGCATCCGCACAGTGCGGGATTGTGAATGCCACTGAGCGAGAGTCAGCGATGCACAGTTTATTAAGTAAGCTACGATCTGCATAACGATAGGAGAGAGGCAATATCACCATCAATCGGTACGCATTCATTTCTATTGTGCATGTTGGGATATTTGGTGTATATCCATGCTGCCTGTAATGCTTTTCGTGCTGAGATTTCGTTTTCGTACGCCAGGATCATACGTTTAACTTGAAATTCGCTACCATTATGAGCCTCAACCTTATGTTTTCCCAGAGTACTAGCCCTCCTCATACCTGCCATATGTTTTTTGATCCTTACGCTCAATGTCCTACCCGTTTCGCCTATGTAGATCGCATTGCAGTTTAGGCATATCAACTGATACACAACTCCAACTTTGCACAGTCTCCTACTTTACCATGTGGACATACAATACAATTTTCAGAAATGCACTCGACGTCATAAAGCCTCTTTCGTATCAACTG